GCCAAGGGCAGGGGCAAGAAAGCGTGTCCCATGAAGAAATATTAAGCAGGAGAATAACATGATTAGACTTGTATCTTAGAAGGAGGACAATGGTTTGGAGAGGAGTTTGGTGGCAAAGAAGCTGGTGTATTATTTGTCTTAACCATCTTCACTCCCTTGATTTTTAAGACACGCTGATCCTGGTTTTCATCCCCTCACCTCATTCTGACATTCCTTTTTTTTTTTCTTTTAGGTGGTAAGCAAGGTAGCAAGGTTTATTGGGGTAGGGCATCCATCAGAAGGATGGGACAGATTCTAGGAGAGAGTGCCCAGTCATTCAGATTGGAGAGAGCAAGGTTACATGGTTAAATGGAGAGAATGCACCTGGCAGGCCAGGCCGGCAGCTCAGCAGAGAGCCTGAGTGCTGAGTGTTTTTACTGCTGTATAGTATTCTATAGAATACATATCCCATAATTTCTTTATCCAGTCTTCTGTTGATGGGCATTTAGGTTGATTCCATGTCTTAGCTATTGCGAATTGAGCTGCAATAAACATTGAGGTGCAGACAGCTCTTTTATTTGCCAATTTAATTTCCTTTAGGTAAATTCCAAGGAGTGGGATGGCTGGGTTGTATGGTAGGGTTATATTCTGGTTTCTGAGCGATCTCCAAACTGACTTCCATGGTGGCTTTACCAGTTTGCATTCCCTCCAACAGTGGGTTAGTGTTCCTATTTCCCCACATCCTTGCCAGCATCTGTTGTTAGTTGATTTCTTTATGTGAGACATTCTAACAGGGGTGAGGTGAAAGCTCATTGTGGTTTTGATTTGCATTTCCCTGCTTGCTAGTGATCCTGAACATTTTTTCATGTGTCAGACTGTCTTAATCATCTTTGAATTCCTGGTGCCCAGCATAGCATATGTACATTGGATGCATTAAAATTGTTTCTTGCTAAACTAACTGCATTGATAGTGAACTTTTTTAAAAAAAGATTTATTTATTTATTGGAAAGTCAGAGTTACAAAGAGAGAGGAGAGGCAGAGAGAGAGGTCTTCCATCTGATGGTTCAGTTCCCCAGATGGCTGCAACAGCTGGAGCTGCACTGATCTGAAGCTAGGAGCCAGGAGCTTCTTCTGGATCTCTCATGTGGGTGCAGGGGCCCAAGGACTTGGGCCATCCTCTACTGCTTTCCCAGGCCATAGCAGAGAGCTGGATCAGAAGTGGAGCGGCCGGGTCTCGAACCGGCGCCCATATGGGATGCCGGCGCTTCAGGCTAGGGCGTTAACCCGCTGCACCACAGCGCTGGCCCCTATAATGAGCTTTATTTATTTATTTTTTTTTGCAGAAGAACAGTTGAAATAAAAATATTTTCATTTACTCTCCTTTTTATGGAATTTTAAATTAGGAGACCACAAAAAATTAATATAAAATAAATCATATTTCTAAAATTTTGAAATGTAATAGAATTAAATATGAAGTGATGATGTGAAAAGTATAAAAATTTTGCTAAAATTATATAGAAGAAAAACAGTAATAAATCTGACTCCCCACAATAATGTCAGTTCCATCTTCTAATTTGTTTTGGCTTTTTACTTATTTATGTCTCATATCATTTGACAGATTTAATTTCCTTCACAGGACAGACATTCTTGCTATGGCTGACGACTATACAGCTTTCAGTACTAGGAAGACATTGTCCGTTTTACAATCCCCACTGGAAAGCAGACTACTCCTCAAGCTACAAGGTAAATGCTCATTGGTTCTGTAGTATTTCCAGGATAGGCCAGGAGTATGGACTGTCTACTGCCATAACAGTGTTGCACAACGATCAATAAAACCTCAGTGTGGCAAACAGAAGTACATACATTTAAGCTCCTAGGTCTACAGAGTTCAGCTGATCTAGTCAGGCTTGACTGGTCTCAGTAGGACCTGTCACATGTAGGGACCAGTTGGGGTGGCCTCAGGTAGAAGGATGCAGGTGAGTTGGCTTTGCTCTATGTGTTTTTCATCTCCTATGGGTTCACTGGAGCATGTTTTATCAGCTCAAGCAATTTTCCAGACTAGTTTGAATGACATTTGTTAATATCATACTAGCCAAAAAAAAAAAAAAAAAAAAGGCACAAGGCTGACCCTAGAATCAAAGAGAGAAGGCATGGATATGGATGTATAGTCACAAGGAGGGGGAAGAATTGGGACTTTTTTATGCAAGCAATCACATATGCTTAATTTTTCTTTGGTTTAACTAATAAAAGAGTTCAAGGGAGTCAGATATCCTTGGATTACATTAATTATTCAGCTATTTCAGTTTGGTTTTCTGCTAAGAAAAAAAGCCAGAATTTATACTATTTTTCAAGACTAACCTTTGACAAAACACCAATATGCATTATATTTAATTATTAAAAACCAACTAATTTCTTGAGGATTTACTTATTTATGTAAAATAGTTACACAGAGAGAGGAGAGGCAGAGAGAGAGAAAGAGAGAGAAAGAGAGAGAGAGGTCTTCCATCTGCTGGTTCATGCCCCAATTGGCCACATCCGAAGCCAGGAGCCAGGAGCTTCCTCCAGGTCTGCCCACATGGGTGCAGGGGCCCAAGGACTTGGGCCATCTTCCAGTGCTCTCCCAGGCCATGGCAGAGAGCTGGATCAGAAGTGGAGCAGCCAGGAAATGAACTAGCACTCATATGAGAGGCCAGCATCACAGGCAGTGGCTTTAGCTGCTACACCACAACATTACCTTGTAAACCAACAATTAATTCTTGCCTGAAAACAAAAACCAGCCCACCAGTGCCATCAGAAATCCTCTGAGAAGGCTCCCAGAGCATACTTTGGGAATCCTTGATTAAAATAGATATCTTTGTTCAATTTGAATGTGTTTTTACTCAGATGAACTTTTGCTTTATGCAATTCCATCAAATATTAAATAGCCTGTTACATAGTATTAAATATTGATGATGCTAATTCAAAATGAAGATTATAAAAGCATTCAGACTGGTTCCAATCTTTAAAGTAATGTCTTGAAAGCATCATAAAATGGAAAAAATTATTGTTTAGTCATATCACCTGCATTGTATTCATATCCATGAAATTCACAAGGCTCTAAGGCTTTTTTCCACTGCCTTCACTTACAGTTCATGTTCTTTTCTTACATGCTCTTATGTGACATTTATTTTTTCAGCTGATCACTTTGGGTTAATTGTAACAGTAAAAGTACTTTTATTTCCGTAGTGATATTTGTCATGTTACAGATTAGTGAGGAGAACCCTAAGGAATAAGAAAGTTTGAGGGGCTGGCATTGTGGTGTAGCAGATAGGCTGGTATCACATATGGGTGCTAGTTCATATCTCAGCTGCTCTACTTCCCATCCAGCTCCCAGCTATGGCCTGGGGAAAGCAGTGGAAGATGGCCCAAATGCCACCCACGTGAGAGAACTGGATGAAGCTCCTGGCTCCTGGCTTCAGCCTGGCCAAGCCCTGGCTGTTGTGGCCACTTGAGGGTTGAACCAATGGATGGAAGATCTTTCTATCTCATCCTCTGTATATATAACTCTGACTTTCAAAGAAATAAATGAATCTTAAGAAAAAAAGTTTTTTTTAAATCTGTTTTTAAATCTTTTTTAATCTGTTGATTAAACACAGTCATGCTTTGCAGCCTGTGGTTGTTCTATGCTTAGGCACAAACAGCTTTATTTGTTTATTTAAGAGACAGACAGAGCTCCCATCTGTTGGTTTACTTCCCAAATGCCTGCAACAGCTAGGACTGGGCCAAGCCAAAACGGGAAGTTTGGCACTCAATCCAGGATTCCCATATCTGGGATAGGAACCCAATTACTTGAGCCATCACTGCTGCCTTCCAGCGTCTGCATTAGGAGGAAGCTGGAGTCAGGCGAAGCCAGGCATCAAACAAAGGTACTGTGATATGGGACACAGACAATTTAACCAGCAGGGTAAATGTTTCCCCCACCAACAAATTTTGGAATCTCATTTTGTCAGAAGATTGCCTAGTATACCAGGTATCAGTGAACTCGAAAACTTAAACCTCAAATTAAATGTAAAATTAACTTGACTTCATAAAATAAGTTTTAAATTTTAATCTATTTACCAAAAAGCTTTACATAAGCCTGTGCTAAAATTCTATTTTGTTTTTATACAACTTGAATCCCAACAAACTGTCATCCACATCATTTTTGCCTCAGCCACAGCTTCATACATCTTGTGTTGACAGAATGGCAGAGTATTACCTGTATACACAGTGACCCTGCTCCTAAAATAGGAGTGGGAAGAGACCAGACCTAAATCTTTCCCCTGGAGCAGCCACCGCCGCAGGTCCCCCTCCACTCGCGCCCCTGCGCTGCAGCCTCCAGGTTGCAGGGGGCGCTGTGGCGAGGGCCAGGCCGAGTGCGCTCGTCCGCTCTCTCCCGCAGGCAGCGGCGAGGCGGAGCCCTAGCGGGAGCGGAAAGGAGGGAACCCCGGGGAAGGTGAGCGGCGGGGTTGCTAGTGAGTGGGCGGCGGGAGGCAGCGGGCGCCTCGCCGCACGCCGGCTTCTGGCTTTGGAGGGTGTGGGCAACCAGCGGGCCTCGCTCCCAAGTGCCGCAGGGTCGGCGGCGTTCTTTCGGGCGCCCTGCATCTTTGCCGCTCGGTGGAAATCCTGGCCGCACCCCAGCCTTGGCGACCCGGCCCTTCCAGAGCTCGTTTCCGGAACCCTGACGTTCCAGGCGCCCGGCAGTCCGGTCGGTGTCGGCTCACGAGACTCGCGTATTTTACAGGGATATGGTTTTGTAGTTTGCACGAGCTGGCCCAGTCTTTTGTTTCTGCGCCGAGAGTCCTGCTTTTTCTGTCTGGAACTCAGTTGCGACCAGTTTCTTCTGGAGGCTTGAGTGATCCGCTAATAACGGGCAGTGTAGGACACACACTGGGGAGGGCGCCACCTTACACCATCCAGCCGGCAGGTTGGCAGATGGGCTGCAACAGCCGCTGACCACAACTGCTCTCCTTTTGTCAGGTACAGTAAATTCAAGAGACAGAAAGATGCTTTTTTTAAAAAATATACTTTACATTTAAAACATCAAATATAGGATCCCTTTAAAAAAAAAAAAGCCCTGTAACGTATCAATGCGAACTCCTTGTATATATTTAGGACTAAGATTTGGTGACTTGGCGAAAGAGGAGCGGGCTGGAAATTGGGAGAGCTGGGTTATCCCACTCTCCTGGCGAAGACAATGCCTTTGGGCCTACGTCTCCTCGCAGTTCCACTAAGTTGTGAGGATGACAGTGGTTACTGTTTACTGAACATTTTATCCTTTCGAAGTGTTACTAAACATTTTATCCTTTCATCGATGACGTACACATTTAATAGACATCTGTCCTGTGCAGCAGATAGTATTACCCCGTTTATAAAGGTGGAACATGGGGGCCAGCATTGTGGCATAGCAGGTAAAGCCAGCAACTACAGTGCTGGCATCCGGGCACTGCCAGGAGCTTCTTCTGGGTCTCCCATGTGAGTGCAGGGGCCCAAGGACTTGGGGCATCTTCCACTGTTTTCCCAGGCCATAGCAGAGAGCTGGATCAGAAGTGGAGCAGCCAGGACTCAAACCAGTGCCCATATGGGATGCTGGCAGTGCAGTTGGAAGCTTTACCTGCCATGCCACAGCGCTGGCCCCACATATAACACAATCTTGGCTTCTAGGAGTCTTTGTGACCTCCGTAATCTATAATTCTTAAAAAATATTTATTTACTTATTTGAATGGCAGAGTGACAGAAAGAGGGAGAGAGGCAAAGGAGGTCTTACATCCATTGGTTCACTCCCCAAATGGCCACAACAGCCAGGGCTGGGCCTGGCCAAAACCAAGAGGCTAGAACTCCATCCTGGCGTCCCACAGAGATGCTGAGGCCCAAGCACTTATGCCAGCTTTCCCTGCCCTCCCAGGCACATTAGCAGGAAGTTGGATTGGAAACCAAGTAGCTGGCTTGCCAAGTGTATTAATAGGAAGCTGGTTTGGAAGCAGAGTATCCAGGAGTCAAACTGACACTGATATGGGAAGCCTGGCATCAGAAGCAGCAGCTTAACCAGCTTCACCACAGCACCAGCTCCAGTAATCTGTGTTTTTTATTTAAGTATAGCTGGTTGTTAAAAATTCTTTATTCGACAGATGGTATGAATAGATTTTTAATTTAGGAGACAACTACTGTAACATCTTCACTGACTGTTACTCAGTTTTAAAAGGAAAAGCTATGGGGCTGGTGTTAGGGCACAGCAGGTTAAGCCAGTGCCTGAAACACTGGCATTGCATGTGGCTGCTGGTTCATATCCTGGCTGCTCCACTTCCTGTCCAGCTCCTAGCTAGTGTGCCTGGGAAAGCAGCAGAAGATGGCCCAAGACCTGGATGAAGCTCCTGTCTCCTGGCTTCTGGCCAGTCCAGCCCTAGCCATTGTGGCCATTTGGAGAGTGAACCAGCACATGGAAGATCCCCCCCCCCCCACTCTCTCACTCTGCCTTTCAAATAAATAAATCTTCAAAAGAAAAGAAACTTCAGTACAATGAAGCTGTCCTGTCCCACATTTAATAACAGAATGATAAATACTGGAAAACTTTCATACTTTTTTTTAAAAAAAGGTTTATTTATTTATTTTTGACAGGCAGAGTTAGACAAAGAGAAAGGTCTTCCTTCTGTTGGTTCACCCCCCAAGTGGCTGTTACGGCTGGCACACTGCGCCTATCTGAAGCCAGGAGCCGGGTGCTTCCTCCTGGCCTCCCATGCGGGTGCAGGGCCCAAGCACTTGTGCCCTCCTCCACTGCCTTCCCGGGCCACAGCAGAGAGCTGGGATAGAAGAGGAGCAACCTGGTGCCCCAACCAGGACTAGAACCCAGGATGCCGGTGCTGCAGGCAGAGGATTAGCCAAGTGAGCTGCTGCGCTGGCCTTATTTATTTATTTGAGAGGTAGAGTTACAGAGAGTGAGATGTAGAGACAGAGAGAAAGGTCTTCCTTCCATTGGTTCACTCCCCAAATGGCCTCAATGGCTGCAGCTGCGCCGATCCAAAGCCAGACGCCAGGAGCTTCTTCCCAGTCTCCCACGTGGGTGCAGGGGCCTAAGGACTTGGGCCATCTTGTACTGCTTTCCCAGGCCATAGCAGAGAGCTGGATGGGAAGAGGAGCAGCTAGGACTAGAACCCTTGCCCATATGGGATGCCAGCGCTGCAGGCAGAGGATTAACCTACTGCCCCACAGTGCCGGCCCCAAAACTTTCATACTTTATAGAAATTATCATGGACAATGGTAGAAGTGGTATAACTTGTAAAATACATTTATGCCTTTACAGTCCAAGTATTCTTTAGTTCTGGTAAAGAGTTTTAACATTAATAGTACATTATTAAAGTGTACTTGTATGTCAAGGTTGTAGTATAAAAATATTACAATGACTGCTTTTTTCTTTAGGTCATTACAAAGGAAATGTTGATGCATCTAAGGATAAAGGATATTGAGACATCTTACAAGTAGAATTAGGTCATCACAATTCATATGTTTTGTTTTTTACAAACATATATAGGTTGGATTTCCTGATATTTAACATCACTGCTACCTTTAATTTTAAAATACAGGTTGAGCATCCCTAATCCGAAAACCTGAAATCTGAAAAGCTCCAAATGTGCAACTTTTTGAGCACCAACCTGATGGCACAAGTGGAAAATTCCACACCTGACCTCATGTGACAGGTTGCAGTCAAAATTCAAGTGTACAATGCACAGTTTATTCAGGATGCCCAAGGGGGAGAATGATCCTCCCAGCCCTGTCAGCTGTGATAAGTCTTTTTCACACATACAGATTTCCCCACAAAAGTACATCCACAGAGGGTTATAAAATGACATGTGTGCCAGCCAGGTGCACCAACAGCGGGTTCCCTGCTATGCTCCACATGAGGTCGAGACCTATGTGAATTATTCACTGTATGTTTTTTTGCTTATTGTCCACTCTGTGGTGTAAAGATATTGTTGAAAATGTCAAAAAGGCCTGCAGATATTCCTGTGACTACTAGTAATAAGAAAAAGAGGAAGCATTTGTGTTTATCTATAGCACAAAAAGTCAAGCTGTTGGAGAAACTGGACAAGGGTGTAAGTGTGAAACGTTTGACAGAAGAATATGGTGTTGGAATGACCACCATATATGATCTGAAGAAACAGAAGGATAAGCTGTTGAAGTTCTATGCTGAAAGTGATGAACCAAAGTTAATGAAAACTAGAAAAACACTGCATAAAGCTAAAAATGAAGATCTAGATCGTGTATTGAAAGAGTGGATTCGTCAGCGTCGCAGTGAACACATGCCTCTTAATGGCATGCTGATCATGAAACAAGCAAAAATTTATCATGATGAACTGAAAATTGAAGGGAACTGTGAATATTCAACAGGCTGGTTGCAGAAATTTAAGAAAAGACATGGCATTAGATTTTTAAAACTTTGTCGTGATAAAGCATCCAGTGACCACAAAACAGAGAAATTAATTGAAGAAGTGGATGTGGAAGAAGATTTTAACGTCAATAGTAAGGCTCCAGCTGTTCATTCATTGGCTGATGGTGAAATGGCCAAAATGATTCTGAATCAGTGTGACCGTGATAACAGTGATGATGGAGATGATGTTGGTAACGCTGCAGAAAAAGTACCTCTAGACGACATGGTGAAAATGTGTGATGGGCTTATTGAAGGACTAGAGCAGCGTGCATTCATAACAGAACAAGAGATCATGTCAGTTTATAAAATCAAAGAGAGACTTTTACGACAAAAGCTATTGTTAATGAGGCAGATGACTCTAGAGGGAACATTAAAAAAAGTCACCCAACAGAATACCTCTTCATCCCTGGAGGACCCGAGTCCTGGTACCTCAACTGCTCCTGATGTTTCTTCTCATCTAAAAACAATAAAACAGAATGTACAGTAACCTTTCAGTCAAACACGGAAGCATATGTAGAGACTCTCAGATGACTGTTCTTTGTTATTACTATTATTTGGCAGCTGATGTAGATTTTTTGGTGATGCTAATGTGCTACTTGGTTACCTTGGACATATTTTTCACAGTATTAATGGGATGTCATATTTTTTATTGTTAAGTGCTTATATGAGAATAAATGTAAGAATATGATTGCTTATTGGTAGTATGTAAAGTCAAGAATGATAGTGACAGCAAGAAACCAAAGATTATCCACATGAGTAGCTGAGGTAGTGAAACCTTTGCTTTCTGATGGTTTAATGCAAAATTAATATAAAGTTACCTCTAGGTTATGTATATAAGGTATATATAAAATATAAAGGAATTTCATATTTAAACTTGAGTCTAATCTCCAAGATAAATTGCATTTTGTATAAGCAAATACAACGAAATCCAAAACACTTATGGTCCCAAGCATTTCATATAGGGGTTACTCAAGGCCTGCAGTGAAATTTCTGTTGATTATCTCTGTCTCTGTGTGTCTCTTCATGTCCCTACTTACCCTCTTACCCTGGTGTATATATTTAATTTTGGATATCAGGTGTGGAATAAATCCTCAATTTCTGGCACATGGTTGCACACACAAAATGTACATGATAAACTATTCTGGGAGCTATTCTGTGTTCTGCAGTATATATTCTCTGCACCCATCTGCCCTGTTGCCTTTTTTTCTTCCTCATGAGCAATTAATCTATTTTCTATAGAGTAACTGTTTTAATTACACGTAGCTGCTTACTGTTAATAAAAGGACAATACTATTTGTGTCAGCTTCAGTTAGAATGACTTTTGCATTGTATTTGCTTTTTCAGGCCTTCCTAGTATTGTTATGTAATGTCCCAGTGTCAAATAGTGGTGCGTTGTGAGAACGTGATTTAGCCCTAACAACGTGGCCCTGTGTTAACTATTTCCTGCCTAACATTTCCTACAGGTATACCTGTTGATTATTTTACTGCTTTCTCTTTAATTATTGCTTCGATTTGCATTTTCTTTTTTACCACAATCATAGTCAAAATAGTTTTCAGCACAAGAAAGCATCACTGACACCTGCGTGAGTGGCTGGTGGCCAGCATTTGTTACTTAAATTCTCCTATGTTTGCAGACATCATCCATCCTACTGTCATGGTTAAGAGGGAAAAGGTGAAACACCAGATTAGAAGGGGGAAAAAAAAAGTGGAAGCAGTAGGTTGCTGCCATAGAAAAGGAGAGATAGCAAGAGATTTAGCATCACTTCCCCTACAATGTCCACATCTTTTAAATATTGAGCCAAGATTGAAGAGAGAAATGGATTCAATGAGTAAAGCAGAAGTGAATGGGAGGTCCCTTTTGTAGCTGTCTTGCTTGGTACCAAGAATCTGTGCAAGAAACGGGCATGTGAATGTATCACTTCTGCAGCTAAAAGCGCTGCATTTCTGCCAGCCTTGGGCAAGGTGTTTGAAGCAAGTGTGGCTGGCTGAACAAGTCTCAGCATGTTGCGGAATTGTTTCAGAAGTTGCCTGTGGGGAAGACAGTAGTTCTAGTAGAGAAAATTTGTAACTTGTATGCAAGAGAAAGTTAAGAGAACAATTGCTGGTTACAGCTTGAATGGGATTTTAAATGCTGATGAAACAGGTATGCCTTCCTGGTTATTACCTCATCATGTGCTTCATGCCAAAGGTGGACTTGGCAGAGGAAGTAAACAGAGATTGATGATTGCTTTGTTCTGCTGTAATATTTTGGACTACTTGTCGTTGGCAAATCAGCCAACCTCCAGTGCTACAGAAATATTCATTTGCTCTCTTGTGATTACTAAGCTAATACACATGTCTGGATGATGGGAAATTAATGGATGGCTGAGAAGAATTGACAGGAAGATGAAAGGAGCAAAATGCAATATCCTCTTCCTGATAGTTACAGTGCCCATAGCACACTCCCACACTTGGATCATGTATGTTTTTTTTATTTTTTGAAATTTTCTTATTGAATTCCACAGCTGTTCCGCAGCCATCATACCAGAGTATAATTTGCACACTGTACAGTGTTATGAAGTAAGAGTCAAAATTAACATATAAGCATTCATTGGTGTTTTGTACAAGCATTCTCTGTTAAATCTGTATACACTTAAAAAATAATATTTTTACAACTCATAGAGAAAACTAGGAGCTTGGCTTTTTAAAATACTTTGTTACATAGTGATCAATAAGTATTCTTCTATACTACTTAATTGGGTGAACACTTCAGCAGAACATTTACCAGAAAACAAAGTATTCTTCAGGCACTTTCTACACTTGCAAAAGTCTCAGAAATGTTCAACACTGGCTTTTCTTTCCTGTGTTCCCCATGCATGTTATAGCTACCATTACTGTCGATCTTCATTATCACCATGGCCTTCTGATTCCATTTTTATACCTATTAGTGCTCCTACAGCAATTTTAGGGTTTGCTAATTATTGGAAAAACAAACTGCTATCTGGAGCCACAGAGTGGCTGATCTGGAACACCAGTGAGTGTGGCAATTGGGTGCTAGATTGGTTCAAATGGCACATTTGGTAGTGTTTTTTCCGCAGGTGTACTTAAGGGAATTCCTCAGGGAGCATGCCTGTTTTCTGTGAACATTTAACTACTATAGATGACTTCATAGACACCAGGTTTCTCACCATCTAAATTTAAAGTGTATACAGTAGAAGACTTAACAGAGAATGCTTGTACAAAACCCCAATGAACGCTTACATGTGAATTTTGACTCTTACTTCATAACACTGCACAATGTGTTATAGTATTACCCTGAAAAATTGTATTATATTGTCATTATTGTTAGCCTTTGGAAGATTTCTTTGTCTACCTTTTCCCTTCCACCCCTCAGTCTCAGCCCTGCATTAGGTGGCAGGAATGAAAAGAACAAGCTTTTGTTTACTAATACACAGAAATGAAAAATATTGCCAAATGTTGGCATTCCAGCCAAGAGACCCAGAAGACATAGTCGGATCAAATAGGATAGATTTAGAGTAGCCAAAAGAAGAAAGAAGATTCAGGTTAAGTAGGGAGCAGGGCATATCCTTTCCATTGATTTGCTGGTAGGCTTATCCTTCCTGCTTGGGACAGAGTGCTTGGGTAGGCCAATGGAGTAAGGCAGAGGAGGATGAGGAGAAAGCAGCCCAGGGCTGAAACAATAGAAGATAATGAGCAGTAGGACGCAGGGTGCAGGTCCTTCTGGTTGTCCTGGAGTGGGTATTGGAAGGGGAGGCTATGTGAAAAGGGCAGGAAATAGAGAAGGGAGCGGTTAAAACACTGGCCTCACCTGCCCTTAATCCTAGCTTCCTATGATAGAATACAGTCTAACTCAGGTCAACAGACAGTTCTCCAGTCTTCTGGCCACCTCACTGGTTCTAACAGATGAAATTAAAAATAGTGAGCCATTTACAAGGTATGAATTATACAAAGTAATAAGATAGTTGACAATCTCTTTTGGTAAATATCTAGGCTGTAATTTTTGAAATGAGTATAATAATTTAAAAAAAAGGTTTATCAAGAAATAATTTTAAAGGGAAAATGTATTATTTTGTTTCTAGGTAATAAATCATCAGTCAAGATGTCTTCAGCACCTGAGCCGCCAGCGTTTAAAAAGGAACCACCCAAAGAGAAAGACTTTCAAAACCCAGGGCTCAGAGGGGTGCGCACAACCACCTTATTTCGAGCAGTGAACCCAGAGCTCTTCATTAAACCTGTAAGAAATACATCCGAGATAAGACTTTATGTTTAAGCAGGCTTTCAGAAATAGAGAGTTCTTATTTCCTGTAATGTTTTATTTCATTGTGGAAATTTTATGTTGATTTATAAGACCTCTCTGAATAAAAGCAAGTGGAAGGAAAACTTTCAATATTGTTTCACATACAAATACATAGAAAACAAAATATTTTAGGAACATTGAGGATTATAATGGCTAATAGTTGCTTTTTTATTAATGTGTGTTTTTTTAAGATTTATTTATTTTATTTGAAAGGAGAGTTACAGAGAGGCAGAGGCAGAGATTAACAACTAACAATAGAACAATTTTAACAAAATACTGTAATAAAAATTATATGAACATGGCATCTAGAAATATTCAAGACATGTATTAACATTTTCAGATTGTGGTTGGCTTTGGGTAACTTGGAATCTAAAACCACTGGGACCATTTGGGAAGTGAACCAGTGGATGGGTAATAGATAAACTTTATTGTAGGTTATTTTCATATGGGAAAAGACATAATAACAAATATAAGGTTCAGTACTATCCATGATTTCAGGCGTGGACCAAGGGTCTTGGAATGTATCTTCTATGGGTAAGGGGGTACTCCTGTAATACAGCATATATGGTGACAGAGCAGAAAATACTATTTGTACTACTGCTATGTATTTACACTGGCCTAAGAAAGGTTAGTTTGTTGAGTATGAACTTGCAAAACAGGAAGGTCTGAGTCACAAAGTGTACTAGAAAAACCACACAGTTGTGAACATCTTTCCTGTATTTAATTTTTTTAAATTCAAAGCTCCATCACTTTGCCTCTGAAGGTCTTAGATTTTCCAGCAGTAAATTAAGATTATTATAGCAGCATAAATACCTGTTCGAATCCATAAATTTCTTGAAGTAATAGATGAGGTTCCCAGAGGATAATGTATACATGGTCATTATTGCTGTGCCTAATATATGTTGTAAATGAAAGAGTTTTTACCAGTTACCTATAACCTGGGTAAGAATAATAACATGTTTACTTCATTTTTTAATTCCTAATAAAATGAACTAATTGGACATTTGCAAATGGGGAGGTTTAGGCCCAAAAAAGCAACTTCTCCATGTCACACTCCTGTTCAATTTCCATGCCTCACTCCTCCCACAGTTGTCTCCTTCCTGAAGGTGGAGGTCTGAGATGCCTAGGCTATAAAGAGAAGGAGTGAAGAGGACAGGCAGATCTTTTTTAATTTCTAAATTGGAGTTGACTGAGTTGGCTGAAGAACTGAATAAATGATCCTAATTGCAGTGTTGCTCTAGGGATGCTAGTGCGGTAATAAAAATGTGGCATGTCAAGAGGGAAATAGATATTTAGATCTCAATTATTAGTTTTAACGAGGCTTTATAATTTTTTCCTTGACAGAACAAACCTGTAATGGCTTTCGGATTGGTAACCCTCTCGCTTTGCGTGGCTTACATTGGTTATCTACATGCAACACAAGAGAACAAAAACAATCTCTATGAAGCTATTGATAGTGAAGGACACAGTTATATGAGGAGGAAGACATCTAAATGGGATTAATAGTGCTGCTTACTGCTGACGGAGCATTATTGAGAGCTCTGAAATCTTTGATTCAAAGACCTTAGAGTACACA